ATTAGTTTTATTTTGTTTAGATCATAATTTTCCTCAAAAAAATATCACCCAAAAACAAATCAATCAAAATTAATTAATTCACACTTTAGTTTTCTACAAATCCGTAAAAACCTGACACCCCTAACATCAGCTACAATGCCAATGTGAAATGGAATTTCAAATATTAGAAATGACATCAAAGGAAAATGAGTGCATCCGTTGGAAAATGAGATCCGGTCAAAATAATCATGCCTGAAAAATAAACGTATACATGCTGAACGGAAAGAATGGAAAAAGTGGGAAATAGAAATAAAATATATAAAAAGTAACGTGATAAGAGAAAAAAATGAAATGAAAAAATATATATAGAAAGATTGATTTATCTTAAAAGTAAATTTATTTAAATTTATTTTTTCCAATAATTTATATTTTATATAGTTTAATAATATTTATTAAATATCCTAATTTTTCTTGTACCACATAACCCTAAAAATACACTCTCATCTTATTTTCTTTCCATAGAATTATGTTGGATGTAATTTGATTAATTTTCTAGCTTTGATTGGACCAATAAGATTTATGTATTTTAAGTTGTTTACTTATGTTTGGAATTATGAGATTGAATTATTGTAGCTTTGTGATATGAGACTTTCACTTACTTAAGATTAATGTATTTTAAATTATTGATTATCTTACATTTTTATTATTATTTCAACAAAATTAACGTTAAATACAAATTCAAAATTAATATTGAATTTTTATTTTTAATATTTCAATGACATTAAATATAAATTTAAAATTATTTGTAATATAATTTTTTAACTTTTTAAAAAATTTATAAATATCCATGGATATCTGTAAGTATTCAAGAAATTCATGGATACATGCTTAATGGATACCCATGTGGATATGAGGTGGGTTTGAAGCCAATTTTCATACAGTAGGGCGGGGACAAGTTTACTATTACCCGTCCCCATGGGGTTCCATTGCCATCCCTAAAAATATTGGTAGAAAAAAGTGTTATCGAAGAAAGGAGTCACTTGAACGAGAATCAAAGTAAATGCTTAAGAAGTTGCAATTAACGATACACTCTCAAATATATTATTAATTTACTATTAGTTAAAATTATACACAAAATTAGGATGAAATGATTTGTTTGCTTTTAGTACTATTAAAATTTTTGGAAAAAAATACTTAGATGCAATTATTTGTGTACTTTTAGCATTGTTAGCCAATAAGGGGTAGAGTTTCATCTCATAATTTATATTGATATTTAATGTAAATCTTCATTGTATAAATTATTGAGTTATAAAACTTTAATTCTAATTGAATAATAATAAATTTTCTCAAAAAATCAAGTTTTTTAACTTAGTGATCGTAAAGCTTGTCCTGAAATATGGGAGGTCGATATGGTGTTCCCAATTTCGATTCCATCTATGTTAAAATAATATTGTCATATTTATGGATAAAAACAAAACTCTCCCAAAAAATACAATTAAGTTGACTAAATTTAATTGAAACTATAAAATTATAAGTAGGATTTATTAAAGATAAATGTTAACAACACTATCTTAACTTTTTATCAAAATTTATTGAAAATTACAAGTTTTATTTTATTCTAAAATTAAGAGAAATTCATTAAATGAGACACAACACCTATTAAAATTCATTGTTCTTAATAAGTTTGGGCTAGAGTGTTAAGAAAAAAAAAGCGTTAGAGTGAATGTTATTAACATTTTTTTATTAAATAAAAAATGAAATCCAGGGTGTATTTTAAAAAAAATTGTTAAAAATAAAGAGTGTCTGAAAATACTAGTTAATCTTTGTCAACTAGAAGCCTAGTTCTAGGAAATATCAATATAAACCTTTAGCGGCAAAAGTAGTCTTGGTTATTATCTTCATCAATGCTGTTATGTGTCTTCATTGCAAACGTTGAATAATGAGATATTGTAGTGACAAGGCATCTTATCCATCAAGACGTGCATACATACTAAATTGCAAGTTGAGACCCACATCAAAGGTAAGCTAATTGACACCCACTCGAATGTCTGCCATCATGTGTGGGTCCGAAAAGCATTGGTGCTTATTGTTTAGGACTTTAGGGGCCTCATTTTGCGTCATGATTCATTGCAACTGCGCAAAAAAGAGAGAAAGATGAGGGAAACTTGATGACGGTGGCTCTATCTGATATGATTTCATGTTGCCAGTGGTTGAAGCACATATAATATACCAAATCCAAAAGAGATCAAAATGTAGGTGGGGGCGTTAATTGAATTAATTACCAGACCCGTGACATAGAAATAAAGCAAGCAAACAAACTTGTGTGTTGCATATTGATCCAGAGATTTTAAATCGCATTGCATGGGTCTTATGCATATCCATTTTCCTAGTTTTCTCTCTGTCTCTGCCTTACCCAATTCACTTGGTTTGCTTCTATTCTCTCAGAAGGCTCTTCCTGATACTTGAAGGTTCTCCAAGTTCCTTCTTAAGGTGAGGTCGTCAAATAAATATATATCATGATATGACATGGATACATCTTATCATATTGAGAGTTTGTTTGAGGAAACTTCTTCGTAAATATTCTTACAAGAATAAATAAAAATGAAAAAAAAAAAAAATCTTCATAAATTAGAATTAATTTATGTATACTTTAATTTGTGAAAGTTCTTTTCTACTAACTTATCTTAAATCTTATTTTTAATTTATACATAAGTTAATTTTATCTTATCAAGAAATTTCTTTTAATTTTTTTTCCTATTTTGTTCTCCTACAATCGTTTTTGGAGAAATTTAGCTCGACAGACTCTATAATGGAAGTTGTCACCAACTTGGGTAGTAATTTTGTATGAAATGATGTACAATTTATGTTAGGTAGTGCCGGAATTGAAGAGCATGGAAAATGGTCAGCTGACAAACAAGGATGACATGAAAGTTCAAGTCTCATCTAAAAGTGAGGTCGTGTCAGGTGCTGGAGTGGAGTTTCAAGGGGCTCCTAGTCCTAATTTAGGACAAGGTGGCCTTCAGAGACAACCTAGTATGACTAAGACCAATTGTCTCTGTTCTCCAACCACACATGCTGGTTCATTTCGTTGCAGACTTCACCGCACCCCTAGTCTTCAGAGGACCAAAAGCATGGAATCCGAGTCACTACGGGATCAGGCATCAACGGTTCATGCTTCAATTGTTGATGCCAACAAGGATCCAGTGCATTGATCTTATGCTGAATTGAATGTTAAATTGTTACTAGCTGCTATATGATTACATGTGTTTACTCTTGTCATGTTTACTTTCTAATTTTACACTCTCATCTTATTTTCTTTCCATAGAATTATGTTGGATGTAATTTGATTAATTTTCTAGCTTTGATTGGACCAATAAGATTTATGTATTTTAAGTTGTTTACTTATGTTTGGAATTATGAGATTGAATTATTGTAGCTTTGTGATATGAGACTTTCACTTATAATTAAATTATTAAAATTTAATATAAAATATGAATTATTCACTTAAAAATTTATTTACATCACTTTGTGAGTTGTTTGGAGTTGCTTTTTAATCTTTATATATATGTATGAAAGTTGAACACAGGGTGTGGATGGTAATTTTTGATCTACTGATCAGTGATATTACTCAAAGCATGTAAACACTGACGAAACCAGTCAACCTACCCAAGTTCAGCTGCCCTGCCCAATTAAGGTCACATGCAAACGCCTCCAGATTGGAATGTGGAGCACATCACAAAGGACAAGACAAGAAAAATATTTATTTATTATTTATATATATCATCCGAGTTTTAATATTTAAAAATATTTTAAAGTAAATAATATTATAACTCTTTTATGTAATATTAATTACCTTTAAATATACTTTTTGTATTAATTATTTTTAATAGATTTTTATAAATTATTTGAGATTTAAATGTGTTTTTTTATTAAATATTATAATTGTATAATTTTAATCATTTAAATTTTAAATAAATATTTTTAATCTTTTAAATATTATTATTGTGCAATCATGATTTTTCAAATTTTAATTTAATAATTTTATTTTTTAAATACTGTGATTATATAATTTTTATCTCTCCTATAAAAGATTAGTTTTTTTATTGATTGTACTAACCGTACTTCGCACCCGGGCTCCTAGCCCGGATTAGTATTGCAAATAAGTCACCCCGGGCACGCGGTGCATGACGTCAGCCCTACATTTGAGCGAATCATACCTGATTCCGAGGATCTTGTCCCAGACCAGATCCGCCCTTCAATTATATCATATCATATCATGATATATCTTATCTCAAGCCCAAAAGCTCAAGGCAAACCTAGATCACCTCAAGGTACGTGCATTATATATATGAGACTATTACTCATGCAAACCCTAACTTTAGCATCGGAGTCTCTTTTGCAGGTACCTCCCCCATCTCGGAGCACCAACACACCCAGCAAATGAGGCTCACCGATCTTACCCGGCGGATCAGCTCTACAGCAGATTTCCGGTAATAACATTTGGCGCCCACCGTGGGGCTGATCAGACCAAGCTCTCATCGCCCACCTGCATGGTTTCTACCAGAAGCCACATTAGACGAGCAATAGATAACACAAGCAATTCAACTACCATGGACAGCGACACCGCGACCCTGAGGCGGCTGGTCGAACAAGTCGAGCAGATGCGGCGACAGTACGACGCCGATCTCCAGAATATGCGCGTCCAGCATGAGAATGACCTCGCGGCAATGCGCACCGCTAACGAAGCAGACCTAGCGGCGCTACGCGCCGAGAACGAGCGCATCCGCGCCTAGATCCCCCGACATCGCCCCGGCCAATCACCGCACGACAGCGGTGACCATGAGGAGGAGGCGCATTCAACCTCCCATTCCCAAGCAACCACCAAGGCACCACATTCACGGCCCGCCACGCACCGGTCTCATGCATCAACGCACAGATCAGGGCAGGGCACCAGCAAGGCCCCCACTCATGTCTCCGAGGGCCAAGAGCCTTTCCGCCGTCATCCCTTTGTGGACGGCATCATGGAGACTCCGTTACCCCGCGGGTGGAAGCCCCTCCACCTTGACCGCTACGACGGCACTACGGACCCCGATGAGCACGTCGACGCGTACACGACTCAGGTAAACCTTTACACTAACAGTGACGCTATACTGTGCAGGGTCTTCCCGACCTCGCTTAAAGGACCCGCGCTCCATTGGTACACCCAACTGCCGGCAGGGTCCATTGACAGTTTCACCACCTTGGTGCGGCGGTTCACGGCACAGTACGCCACCAGCCGACCTCACCACACAACCTCGGCCGCCTTGGCCAACCTCAGACAGAATGACGACGAGCCCCTACGGGCCTTCATGGAGCGCTTCTCTAACATATCAGTCCGGATCCGAAATCTAAACCCGGAAGTCGCCCTACACGCCATGCTCATGGCACTGAAACCCGGATCGTTCGTCGACAGCCTATGTCGCGACGCCCCTCGCGATATGGACGAACTGCGCGCCCGCGCCGCCGGCTACATTCAAATGGAGGAGCACGCGGCCTTCCGCGACCAGGTTCGCGGTAAGGGCCCCGCCAAACCAGAACAGGGCCACAAAGACAAGGTTAAAGTCAACAACGACAGCCAATTCAAGAAGTCGGCCAGGACAAACAGAGTCGGGAGGTACGACTTCTACACCCCTCTGAACGCCCCAAGAGTCCACATTCTGGAGGAAGCCAGTAACAACAACCTGCTAGACCTCCCACCACCCGGCCACACACCAAACAGTGCTGACAAGTCCAAGCACTGCCGGTACCACAGGAACTATGGCCACACCACGGACGAGTGCCGCACGCTCCGAGACCGCATTGAAGAACTTATCCAGGCGGGCCACCTTGGCCACTACGTCCAGTGACATCCAGGTCCCCGAGGTGGTTCTGGAGGCCGAGGACGCGGGAGAGGTCACGGGTCAGGACCTCGCACAGACTTACCCACAGGGTCCCAGCAAAATGCTAACGGCGCAGTACAGGCCGAAATAAGTCAGGAGACAGAAGCAGCCCCCGTGCGGGGAATCATTAACACAATCGCAGGCGGCTTCGCCGGAGGAGGCGCTAGCAGCTCAGCCCGGAAAAGACACCTTTGAACCATCAACTGCGCCCACTCCACCGCCTCGATCTTGCACAAGAGCTCACCACCGATCTCTTTTTCCGATGAGGACTATGCGGGAATCAGCCCTAACCAAGATGATCTCATGGTCATCGTGGTAGAGATCGCCAACTGGGAGGTACAAAAGACACTCATCGACCAAGGGAGCTTGGCCGACGTCCTGTACTGGCCAACATTCCTCAGGCTCGACGTCCCCCATTCTCTAATCCAGCCACACACCGAGCCCCTAGTCGGCTTTGCCAGCGAACGGGTCCACACCCGCGGATACGTGGACCTGCTGACAACCTTTGGAACACCTCCGAATGCAAGGAGAATCGTGGTCCGATACCTCCTCGTGGAGGCCAACACCTCCTACAACATCATCATCGGGAGGCCGACCCTAAACCACGTCGGTGAGGTGGTATCCACTCCGCACCTCACCATGAAGTTCCCAGGGAATCACGGAAAGATCATCTCCGTCAGAGCAAACCAGAAGACAGCTCGGCAAATCTACGCCGAAAGCCTGAGGATTTCCTCATCCGACAAGGAAAGCAAGGGGAGTCCCTCCACCGCTCCCCATTAGATTCTGTTCCCCCACTTGTACAAACGAAACCGTGCACTCTTTTCCTGCCTCAGCTCCCAACTGAGAGGGTTTTTAACGAGGCACGCAAAATCATTTAATAACATTCTCCATTTTGCTCACCTATTGCTTTCTCAACTACTGCTTTCTTACCTACTGTAAAAATCGAAATTGAACCACCATCATTCATGAAAATCCGAGGTCGAGAACGAACCCCGGAATCCTCGGTAAAGGTCGAGTACGAACCTTAATCCAATCATTCGCGCGAATCCGAGGTCGAGTACGAACCCCGGTATTCTCGTTGAAGGTCGAATACGAACCTTAATCCAATCATTCATGAAAATCCGAGGTCGAGTGCGAACCTCGGAATCCTCGGTAAAGGTCGAGTACGAACCTTAATCCAATCATTCGCGCGAATCCGAGGTCGAGTACGAACCCCGGTATCCTCATTGAAGGTCGAGTACGAACCTCAAGACAATTAAGTCACATAAATCCGAGGTCAAGAACGAACCCCAGTATTCTCGTTAAAGGTCAAGCACGAACCTTAATCCAATCATTCGCGCAGATCTGAAGTCGAGAACGAACCCCGGTATCCTCGTTGAAGGTCGAGTACGAACCTTAATCTAATTATCCACACAAACCTGAGGTCGAAAATGAACCCCGGTATTCTCGTTGATGGTCGAGTTCGAACCTTGACCCAATTATTCGCATGAACCCCCATCAGCCAGTATATAAACCCGAAGGGGTATACGAACCCCCAACATGCAAATTCAAGGTCGAACGCAAACCTCGATATCCCCACAAGGTCGAGTTCGAACCTTAATCAAACGTCAAATCCGAGGTCGAGTACGAACCCCGACGCTTTCTTTAAAGGTCGAGTCCGAACCTTAACGGAACCAACTCGCAAATTACGAGGTCAAGTATAAACCTCAACGCTCTTGTCAAAGGTCGAGTTCGAACCTTAGTAACTCATTCGGAGGCCGAGTCCCGACCACATATCCGAGATCGAGTTCGATCCATGACGAAACATACATGACCCTAAACTTAAGGGCGGACATGGACCACTTATCCAATTTACTACACTTCGGCTTGAGGTCGGCTCAGAACCTCGACGCTAATAAATCAAGGTCATCGAACCTTCACAGAAACACTCACCCAAACAGAAGTCCGAGGTCGCGCCCGAACCTCCTTTAGCATATAAAGTCGAGTATGAGCCTCGATGTCCCCGCTTAAAGGTCGAGTCCGAACCTAACCAAATCGCCTAATTCAAATTCGAGGTCGAATACGAACCTCAACACAGAATACGAACCTTAATCCAATCATTCACTTAAGGTCGAGTCCAAACCCCTAACCTGAGAACAACTCTGAACCCTGGCAAAGCACACCCCACTCTCGATACCAAGGTCGAATTCGAACCCCGACACGACCGACTTAGGGTCGAATTCTGACCTTGACTCCAGCCTAGGGTCATTTATGAACTCTCACAACAATTACTTAGTCAAAATGGGAGATCGAATACGAATCTTAACACGTTCATTTACGGCCGAGTTCGAACTCCCACGAAAAGCCCTACCAAGCAAAAAACTAAGGCCAGCCTCGAACCTCGACTTCACCAGCTCAAGGTAGAAGTATCACCTGATACAAAAGCATATAACAGACAACAAACATGTGCCTCAAACAGCGCGAACAGTCAAAACTGAACGCAAAAACGAACAAAATAGAGCAACATACATATATGTATACAAACAAAGTTCACAAAATCCAGTACATCAATTCAAGCCAGAGAAAAAGGAAACAAAAATTACAAAGAAAGCCTAGGCGAAGGCATTTTCACTGGAACTATCGTTAACATCGTCATCCGAAACAATCCTCCCACGTGGTAGCCATCTAGATGCACCTGAAGGTACCTATCCACAAGCTTAGCCACCTTCAGCTTTGAGCTATGAGAAGCTGAGGAGGACCTTCTACTCTCTTGGAACTCGAAGTTAATATTCTCTGCAGAACGAGACCTCCTCCTTTCAATGGTCAACCTTGATCTTGGAGGGCTTGTTGGTGGACTCTGACCTTGCAACATAAATTGTTCCAATATGATCATCACCAAGTCTACGTCATACACCATATCATTTGTGTTGGACACTGAGCGTATTAAAAGATCATTAACCGTGGCTTCCTCCAACTGAAGTCCTACCCTTGTGGCCAATTCCACCTTTGAAGAAGCAGAAGCATTGAGAATATTCGCTGCCTTCAAGAGTTTAAGAAGGAAGCTGCAAGAAACAGCACCTTTCTCTGCTGGAAGCAAGCTCACTATTGACTCCAAAAGCAGTCTATGCTTTGAAGTCAACTCACTAGCTGAATCTGAATCCGAGTCCGATTCACTTTCCCTCTTGACAATCACATTCTTCCTTATGTTTGGTAGCCATCTAGATGCATATATTTTCAGTGCATCACCAATGAGATTTTCAAAACTTGTTAGACATATTTCTCAGTGATCCTGAAAAGGTTTCACTTTAAATGGAAAACCTATCTCCACTCTTTAAATTTTAGCTTAGAATAGTAAAATATAGATACATGCAATGCTGAGTCATGTTTATTAAACACACCGAGTGGTTTTCAGTTCAACAGTTGTCGCTGTTTTAATAATACCACTTAGAAGCAAACATATCTTACCAATGCGGGATCTTATTCTTTCTTGTTTATTTGTGCTACTTTTTGGTCGGCTTTACATTACACATCAATTTGTTAACCATGCTACTAACACTAATTTGTTCCACCGCACGATAGATTAATGACAAATCTCTGCGAACAAAACACCAAATGTCGAACCTTAATTATTTGTCACAAGTCCTATCCATAATTGAATATCAATTCAATAAGGACGAGATTATCCGCGTGGATGCAAATAGATATGAGGAACATAATCTGATATTACAGTATTAATTGCTTTATGTTAGAAGCATGAAAACGCCAATAATTAATTTTATCAACAAAGTCAGGACCCATTAAAGTGAACCACCATAGATGAACATAGCCACGTGTTTCAGATTCGTGGACACACACGGCACCATTGGTCCTACAATTCGTCACTTACACCTAAGATTCCTCATCCAGTTTTTCACATACGAGATTTACCAAACACATTTCCCCTCTTGTGAAAAATCTTACTTCTTATTATTATAGGTTACACGAACAATGCACATTGATTTTCCCTAGATGTTACAAGACCTTTTGAAAAAGTGAAAAATATAGTATATCATATGTTACCCTCTAAATTTCCCACCCCCATGATGCAAAAATCGAAAAAGTTCACTCAATTCTTTTCAGTGGCACTTTTGTTGGTAGCCCACAACTTGCTGAACATTCGTTTGGGTTGAGTGGGAAAAGCAAGAAGACCCTTAAATCTAGAAGTTCTTCCAATTTCATCACGGGGTACCACATTTTCATCCAGGTCATCCTCAGCTAGCTTCATCCTGAGAGTTGGATTCCTAGTTGACTTTGGTGTCTTAAATCCAGAAACACTCCAATTGTCATCAGCATGTATACTTGTTGTGGTGCTCAATGGTGCTTTGTGTTTTGATGGGTCAATGCCATGAGCAGTGAGTAACGCCTTGAGGTTGCTTGGCATGTCACTCACTTTTCCACCAGATGCTGCTGCTCGTGCTTGCTCAAAGAAGAGAACTTGGACAACCACCCTTAGGGGAAGGAGCTCGTTCTGTGCTGCATGCATGCAAGCTTCCATAGACAGCTTTTTGCAGTCTAGAATTCGACACAGTCTCTTCCTTTCACTCTTATTGAGTTCTGGATGTGCCTACATTTTTAAGTTAAACAAAATAGATTTTAGTGATACTAATAGGGCATTTAAAGTTCTATAAGTTGAACAAAATAGAAACATATAAAGTTTTATAAGTTGGGAGTGGTTAAAAGTAAAAGGGTTAGAGAATTTTGACCACATGACACTTCCCAAGCTTAAACTCTAACTAGTCCCTTTAAACAGTTCTCCTTTTGAAAAATTTTAGCTTAATGGAACGAACGCATTTATCATGGAAAATGGGGAGGAAACACAATCAGTGATGTCATGAGGAGGACTAAAGAACATTTATCTCCTTTTCTTTTTATCTCTACCTAGTGAACAAACTTGAAGTGATCTAACCAAACTGTGAACCAAAAAATAAAAATGTTCTTTAATAGTTTTGACTAGCAATTCTTTCCTTTCCTGTTCTAACCAAGTGAAATGACTAACTGACACAGAACAGAATTAGAAACAGCGAGTATTAGTCAGAAGGTGGCCACATTCAGGCTAAAGTCCTAGTGGGTCAGCCCACACCTAAACCACGAAGAAATGATGAATGAGACAAGATTTTAAGGTCATGTTGTTTATCCACCAATTCTGTCCCACCACTGAAACAAGTTCAACCAGAGACCCTCTTGGACAATATTTATTTCTACCATGTACAAAAATGCAGTAATTGTAATTCTGAAACACAACGGAAAATTTTCTTCAAAAATTTACCTTGAGATAAATGTCAATAGCTCTGTATAGGTCATCATGGTCAAGTCTAGCAAATTCTGGTATAGTTTCAGCAAGGGCAATGAATTTTGAGAGAGGCAAATTCGCATCCCTGGCAACCTCCTGAAGGTACCTATCCACAAGCTTAGCCACCTTCAGCTTTGAGCTATGAGAAGCTGAGGAGGACCTTCTACTCTCTTGGAACTCGAAGTTAATATTCTCTGCAGAACGAGACCTCCTCCTTTCAATGGTCAACCTTGATCTTGGAGGGCTTGTTGGTGGACTCTGACCTTGCAACATAAATTGTTCCAATATGATCATCACCAAGTCTACGTCATACACCATATCATTTGTGTTGGACACTGAGCGTATTAAAAGATCATTAACCGTGGCTTCCTCCAACTGAAGTCCTACCCTTGTGGCCAATTCCACCTTTGAAGAAGCAGAAGCATTGAGAATATTCGCTGCCTTCAAGAGTTTAAGAAGGAAGCTGCAAGAAACAGCACCTTTCTCTGCTGGAAGCAAGCTCACTATTGACTCCAAAAGCAGTCTATGCTTTGAAGTCAACTCACTAGCTGAATCTGAATCCGAGTCCGATTCACTTTCCCTCTTGACAATCACATTCTTCCTTATGTTTGGTAGCCATCTAGATGCATATATTTTCAGTGCATCACCAATGAGATTTATATATATGATTTAAAATTATAATATTTATAATTTAAAATGATTAACAATTGTATAATTTTATAATACATTAAAATTATTAAATTTTTAATAAGAAAAATAAAAATGATAAAATTTTAATATTTAAATATTAAAATTATTTAATTAAATATTAAAAGACTAAAATTTCACCGACTTTGTTGGATTAAAATTATAGAAATCAAAATCAATGTAAATAAGTAATTATTAATTATCACAATTAAAAATAATATATTTATTAATAAAATAAATTGATATTTTAGTAAAATTACTTGAAAGTGCTGCATTCTGTTCGCATTATTATCTCTATAAAACCAGAAGACTAGGTGATGGATGCTTCACGCACCCATATCCATTAATCAACAAAGTTGTGTGTCTGAGAGTGAGAGAGAGACAGACAGAGAGAGAGAGAGAGAGAGAGATGGGTTTGAGTAGCATGAAGGGCAGTGAAGAGAGTGAAGCATACGACGCTCAAATCCATTTATACAAACACGTATACAACTTCGTGAGTTCCATGGCTCTCAAGTCTGCTATGGAGCTAGGCATAGCAGACGCAATCCACAGCCACGGAAAAGCCATGACCCTTTCTGAGTTGTCCTCAGCTCTCAAACTCCACCCCTCAAAACTCGGTGTTCTCCACCGCTTCATGCGCCTTCTCACACACAACGGCTTCTTCACCAAAACAAGTACTCAAAAAGAAGGAGCAGAAGAGGAAATAGCATACGCTCTCACTCCTCCTTCCATGCTTCTCGTCCGAAGCAAGCCAACGTGTTTGGCACCTATTGTGAAGGGAGCACTCCATGCAAGCTCCCTTGACATGTGGCACTCCTCGAAGAAATGGCTCACGGAGGATAGTAAGGAACTCACGCTGTACGAGAGTGCCACTGGTGAGAGCTTCTGGGACTTTCTCAACAAAACCACCGAGTCCGACACGCTCACCATGTTCCAAGATGCCATGGCTGCGGACTCTGCCATGTTCGACCTCGCTCTCCAAGAATGCAAACACGTGTTCCAAGGGTTGTCTTCCCTCGTCGATGTGGGAGGTGGGACAGGTGGCGTCGCCAGGCTCATCCACCAAGCCTTCCCTCACTTGAAATGCACCGTCCTTGACCAACCACAAGTTGTCGCTAACTTGCCTTCTTCTGAAAATCTTAATTTTGTTGGTGGTGATATGTTCAAGTCCATCCCCTCTGCCGATGCAGTTTTACTAAAGGTATATATATATATATACATTTAATTTTTTCATAATGAATTCATTAGACCTTGATACTGCTCATACAAACAATTTTCAAATACGAAATAAATATATTGCATGGTGATATTAAATAAAGGTGAAATTAATTAATTAATTAATTAATTGTTTTGCAGTGGGTTCTGCATGATTGGAACGATGAACTCTCCTTAAAGATATTGAAGAACTGCAAAGAAGCTATTCGTGGGAAAGGGAAGGAAGGAAAGGTGATAATCATAGACATAGTAATTGATGAAACGGGCGATGACTCCAAGTTGACCGAGTTGAAGCTGGACTATGACTTGGTGATGCTGACTATGTTCAATGGGAAAGAGAGAGAAAAGAAAGAGTGGGAGAAACTCATATATCACGCTGGCTTCAGCAGCTACAAGATCACTCCTATATGTGGCTTCAAATCCCTCATCGAACTTTATCCTTAATTTATTACTTAGAAGCTAGATGTGTGTGCTACCGTTTTAATAAGTTTTTACCCCTTCTCGAATCAGATTGGTTGACCTATTAGTATTTTAAAAAAGAAAAATGATACTGATTGTTGTCTTTTTCTTTTCTAAAATATAATAAAAATAATTGATATTTATCAAAACTAAGACATGTGTGATGAAATTGAAAGGAGTCAATATTTGATTAAAGAAAATCTACGTCACATATATATACTAGAATTTTTAATTTTAAAATTAACAATTCGTTATTGATTCGGTTATTAATGATCCCGTAATAAATTTTTCCTCTTCAAATTGTCCGCAAAGAAAAAAATATAATATATAATAGTGTATTTGAATGGGAAATTTAAAAAGAGTAATTCATTTATTTGAAGAATTTTAAATTTTTTGAGGTAGAATATCTTGTTTGGATGGGGAATTTATAAGAAATTTGAAATTCAAAAATTTGTGAAATTTCTTGAAATAGTAGGATTTCAAATTCTCCCAAAAGAGTAAAAATTTGAAATTCCTCATATTTTTTCTTCTTATTTTACATATATATTTTATCTTATTTCTTATCTCTTCATGTTTTTAATTATTGAATATTCAAAAATATTTTTAAAATTATTAAATATTATCTAATAATAATTTTTAAAATTATTAAATATTTAAAAATTAGCTAATATTTATTTTTATAAAATTTAATTTAAAAATCTTAACATATAAATATATTTTTAAAATCAATTTTATCATGGTGGAATCAAATTATCATATCTAACCTAACAATTTAAAATTTGATAAATTTGAATTTACTTATC